CTGGGGTACTGCCCGATGGGAGAGTGGCTGGCGGTGGGCATGGAGAGCAGCAACGTGGAGATCCTGCACGTCACCAAACCCGACAAGTACCAGCTGCACCTCCACGAGAGCTGTGTCCTSTCTCTCAAATTCGCCTCCTGTGGTAGGCACGGGCTGTTTTTTCTGCCTCATGGCTGTGGATTTATCCCTCTGGTTGACTCCCCCTGAATGGGGTCCCAGATGTTGACCCCTACTCTGTCTCCTGCCCCAGGGAAGTGGTTTGTGAGCACGGGCAAGGACAACCTGCTCAACGCCTGGCGGGCGCCCTACGGAGCCAGCATCTTCCAGGTGGGCTGGGGACACTGGGGCAGGGGCTGTTGGTGGCTCCACCATGCCACCAGCCCCGCCCTCACCTCCTGCCTTTCCCTCAGTCCAAGGAGTCCTCGTCAGTCCTGAGCTGTGACATCTCTGTCAACGACAAATTCATCGTTACGGGCTCTGGCGACAAGAAGGCCACGGTGTACGAGGTGGTTTACTGAGCCCTGTCACCGTCCCWCGCCTTGCCCAAAGCCACCAGGGTTCACAGAGGCCTCCAGAGCTGGACCTGTCCTGCTGCAGCTCTACTTTCCCCCTTCCTCTTCTGCTTTCAGACACCAAACCAAGGCCCTGGCCCCTTTCTCCTGCACGAGGTGAGGGCTGGGTGTAACCTGGCATCCCCTCAGCGTGGGCAGGGGCTGGGCTGGCCAACCTGGACCCTTCCTGTCCCTCAGGAGCCGGACAAAGCCCGAGACAGAGCGTGCCCCCTGAATTACCGTTGCTGATTTAATGGTGCCCACTCTCTGCTGTAAATTACCCCTAAAGAAATGTATTTAACTATGTTTTCAATCCCTTACTAATAAAAAGGAACAAAAGAAGAGCTGGTGTGGTTAYGGGCAGGGCGCCTTTGCCAACCAGGGCTGTGAAATGTGTGCTGGGGGTTTTTCTTTCGGCCAGCAGCGCAGGGGAGGATGTTCCCAGCGTGGCAGTGGTGTGGCAGCTCGGCTGCATTTCTGCAGTGGCTCCGTGGTGCCTGTGGTCAGCTGTGGCCGGGGGCAGTGCCCCYGAGCAGTGGGCACACCGCAGCCACCGCCATCCCGCTGCTCCCGTGCCAGCCCCAGGCTCTCGGGAACGGTTCTGCTTCCCCAGGCAGCGCTGGCGAGAGGCCAGACACCGATAAGGCAGCGCCGAGCCTTCGCATCTCATTTCCTTCAAAAACCACTTCCTCCAGCGCCCGCTGCTCCCCCCGCAGCCCGCGGGGACCGGGGGCACCGCAGAGCCGCTGCCACGCTCTGCTCTGTGCCCACAGCGCCAGCCCTGGCTCCTGCTCCTCCCCACAGGACCAGGACAGGCTCTGCCCACACAGGAGCAACCTCAGAGCCACCTCAGTGCTCAAAAGGAGCAGAAAGTTGTGACCAAATGGGACAAAACTCTTGCTAAGGTCTCACCCCTTCTCACCTGGCTCCATCCCACACCCTTAGAGCATCGACGCTGTTCCCCAGGCCTTTT